AGAACCTGTGTGCTGTTAATGCAAGCCTACAGAAGATCTTTCTGCTGCTAGAGCTTTAACCCTGAAGATCCCACTTTAAAAGTTGGATATGTAAAGTCTAGTTGGATGTGCTGGGCTGCAATGCTCCAATGCTCCAGGATAGCTGGTTGAAGACAAGATTATTTCCTAATTCCTGCTCCTCCTTGAGGCTTTCTGAGTGGCTGTTAGGAATACTCCTCTTATGCAATCACTGTCTTGAATCCAATTTTTAAATAACCTTCTAAAACAGACAGAGGAGGATTTTCATTCACTAGCTCCATGTGTGGAACGTGGAAGAAGTTAGCTCACTGCCAGCACGCCAGAGGAGTCAAGGTCTTGTGTCATAGGGAAGGGCACTAACCATGCAAGAGCTCAGGCAGGAAGGGTCCTACCAGTCTTTTTCTCTTCTGTGTTGAAACTGTGCTTAAACATTTCACAATAATTAAGTAAGCTTATGACTCTTAATGCATTTAACGTTCCTTAAGGGAAGAAGGTGCGCAGGGGTCTTGACCCACCATCATTTTTACTTTTTCTTGTAGGGGTTTGAATTTTACCTTCTCCTGCCCTGTATCCTTAGAACAAGGCTGTGGATACTCTTTTCCTCCAACTTAAGTAATAGTTCAGGAAATAGAACAATGTTTGAGAGAAAGAGTGAGGGTAGAGATTGAGGCTGCCAGCATGGCAGCTTGTACCACTTTAGGAAATCATCGCTCCTGTCATAGCCTGGATTCAATTTCACTAAGAGCTCCACTCTCCCCTTTGCTTTGCACAGGGCCAGATATGGCAACAAATGTGCCTTGAGTCTGAGAGCTCATCACACCCTCCAGCAAGGAGAATGTTGGCAAAGACCCATTGGTAGGAAACTGATAACCCCCAGATTGAGCAAGTTGCCAACATACTCAGCCCCATCACCACAGTGCACCACTGTGGGTTGTACAGGCATCACCATGGCCAGAAGAGGTCAAATGAGATCTGATAATCTGCAACTTTTACTTGCACACCCAGAGGGGTAGTCCTGTGCCTGCTTCCTAAGCCATTTCATTTATTGGACCTCAAAGATCCCCCAGGCACTGTATCTGCTCTCACTGAGGGTGTGATCTGCTGCATCACATCCTCAGTGTTTCAGGCAGTTGGTGCTATGCCCCTCCTCACCGATTCTGCCCCACATTGTGTGTTCCCTAGCTGAGTTTGGGACTCTGGAATGTAGATGCATTTACTGATTCTTGTCTAAGAGAAACTTTTAAGTATGACCTAACATTAAGTGCCTACCTGCAGGGAACACTGCACAGCTGAACTGGCCAAACACAAAGAAGCAAAACAGGCTCCAAACCCCTCACTTATGGGGCCCCTTCCTCAGCTGGATTCTGAGGTTCTCAAATCTCTGCACTACAGGGAGCCTGCACGTCACTTTAGAAGATGAAGTCTCCAGCAGGAAAGCAGGGTGGTGGCAAAAGACTGAGCTAATGCTTTCCAAATGATCAAGTAGTGAGGCCAAAGGAAAGTAAGCATCAGAAATGGGGCCTTGAGCCTAGAAATGTAATCAAAGCCTGGGGAAGAGTTTGGTGAATGTTGAGGTCAACAGTGCAAGTGCAGAGCAAAGCTAGAGAGTCCTTGAGCACCTGAGCTAAGAACCAGATGCTGCCAGACTGAACTGACAACCAGTCTCTGCTGACAGCTTGGGAGTTACTGACTGACTCCCTCCTCCCAAGGAGATACCTAGAATGATGTGGCCTTCTTCACTGTAAAAACACCTGATCACAAATCTATCACACATCAGGATTTCTACTTCACCTTAGTATCATGTGCATCAATCCTCTGCAAAACTACTGTCATGGCTCTTACACCACCATGTTACTGTGAGGGAGAATCAGAGTTGGGAGTGCTCAGGGTGAGAAGAGCTGCAAGGTTCACACTGCCCAAATATCTAGACATAATTGACAGCATATGCATTATGATATTTAAGATTACAAATATATATAATGAGGATTTCCAGTGCAAGGCTTTACTTTCATTTACTTAGGAAACATCTAAGTTGAATTCTGCTGAAATCTCCTCATACAATGGATGTTCCAGGAGTTGACAGTGCAGATTTCTTGGAAGTGCCACATTCAGAGCAAATTAACACAGCCTTAAGAGTCAGTTTTGAGACAACTCTCTGACAGACACAAGGTACTGGCTGTGAAACAGAACATGAGACATAAGGCATTGCGTGACATCAGGTAGCACATTTCTGTTTATTTGCCTTTCTTCAAGAACTCTTAACTCTCCATTAGGCAAAGGAGAGCATACAAGATGTACAAGAAAAAGATTAGAAGAAATTTCTTTACCACTGTATTCTGTGGCATGAAGGCCCACAGCCTCTGGGGTTTGGTTGGTTGGTTGTTTTATTAAAGGAAATGTTTTTACTCTGGCTGAGGTGTTACAGTTCAGAGAACAACCTGTTGTCTACAGGAAATCTCTTTAGAAAATTAAAAGTGAGCACAGCTATTTGCTGGGCTGTTCTACTGAACAAACACTGCCAGCTGCACTAATAGCATTTTACCAGACACTTGTCAGCTTTGTGAATCCCTAAGTTTATAAAGACAATAGGAAATGTGACTGCAGAGTGACAGGGGGAAGTAGTTCCAGTTTCTTCCCCCTCACAGCAGATTCCTGCCTGCTGCAAACTTGTGTTTGTTTACTTCAGTATAGCTGTGATGACCTACAGCAGAGGTTCTGCCCTAGACATAAGCAGCTTGACCATAGTCCGACTCACTGCATTAGCAACTTTGATATATAATATTAAAACCCAAAGTTTGTCTCCAATATCCTTCACATAATGCTCTGTCTGTTCACATCCACATTGTATGCTGATGAATTGGAACAGCCTCGGCCAAAATCAATAAAAATGCCTTCAGAATCAGAGTCGATTGACTCCAAAATCTGATCCACTATGTTCTCTGGGCTGGACGAGGGAACTGGAATCAAGGAAGGGTCTCTGTCCAGCTCAAAAGACCTATGTGGGTCCTCCATCGAGTGGAAGAGTCCTTTCTGCTGCTCAGCTGTGCTGAGTTTGCTGGAGCATTGCACTGACCCGGTGCTGGGCCTCTCCTGGTCTCCTGACAGTGAGCTTTTTGTGGTTGTCATGGAGCTCTTGGAACCGTTGTCCATGATGGTGGTGAGGTTGGAGTACCCCTGGAGCTCCAGGCAGGAGGTCATTTCTGAGACGGAGTGCCTTCGGATGCCTGTTCCGTTGGCAGCCATGCCCTCAGTTTCATACTCGGCCACTGGTGTCAGCAGTGGATTGTTGTAGCTCTTGGACCTCACCACAGGGTTCTTGGCCAGGATGTCACCCGACTTCGATCGCCTGAAGAATCGCTTCTCTGTGAACACAGAAAGACCCAGGGTCATATCTCCAGAGTCCCCTGTTCTCATGGTACTAATAATTACAAGTGTTCAAAAGAAAAGTGAAGGCCTGAATATTCATGAGCTTTTCTTGAATGACAGAAGGTTTTACAAAAGTTTGTTGTTTTTTTAGATCCGCAGGCTTCAGGTTTCTTAGATTTCTTTCACATATTTAAGAATACATTTTGTTGGTTTTTTAGATCCACAGGCTTCAGATTTCTTAGATTTCTTTCACATATTTAAGACCCCAAACCTACCTTTACAAGTAATAGCTGAGATTCCCTAATATTCACACAACTTCAGCAGCTGGAGCAAACCAGTGAACGCTGTGTGAGAGGTGATACACAATTACAAATACTTTCTTTAGACAAGAACAGAAAGTGCAATTCTGTCCTTGTTCAGGCTATAAAGGGAATCACTCATTTCTAGGAGTTGAAATTTAACTTTTTCACCCTCACTGGGAAAATAAAGTCTCTTCCAATTTGGGGCACAAGGATTAAGACAGACAGTCTTTCTACTAATTCTGGAGAAACTTAGATTTAAAGCATCATCCAGAGACCACATAAGGAGAGAGTACCAAGAGTGTTTGGAAATGTTAACTGGAGGGGAATGCCCACAGGAACCTATTTCTGGGGAACAGACCCGCACTCGATCCGCAGAGATTGCCTGGATGCTGTTAACCAAATGGGCTTTTTCCAAAAAACGAGCAGCAGGTGGCAGCAAGTGAGCGCAGAGCTGCTCCTGCAGCAATGGGTGAGTCCCTCTCTGGCAGCCAGAGAAAACTGACCACCACGCTAACTTTGTGCAGACCTTAGAGCTCAGACTCACTCGTGCTAAAAAAAAAATAAATGGTGTGAATAATAGGTCTGAATTTTGAAGCTTTCTTTCTACTACTCTCACTCTGTCATCCCATGAAACGGATGCGGCTGGAGCAGGGGATCAAATTAGCCTCTGGAAGTCAACCACAGCCACTGCAAAGAAATTGCTTTAAATCAGGATGCTGGTATATGTTCCCTGCAAACCATGCAATTTCCTTTACAAATGACAGTCTCTTAAAATTATCCTTATGTGTAATTATGTGCTTACCTGGACACAAATTCCAATCATATGCTGTAAAAC